TTCTCTACCGATCATGAGAGCTCTGACTGTCGTAACTCTCTCCCGTTTAATTACCATAATTTACTAGATATATTTTCCCGAATTATGCTAGCTGGCATTAAGTACGGCTCACTCGGATCGTACCCAAGGTTTCGTTATCCCTAATCCCATCTTTAAACCCTCCGTATTAATCCCTTATATACGTTAGGAGTGATATTGTTCAACAACTACCTAAATATGTACTCTCTCCCGAGTAATACATACTAAATAGGCACAGTCGATTAAGGGCCCTTCAATCAACCACAATAATAACGTAGTTGAACAAATAGAGAAAATACTACAGCAAATCTATATTAACGTAACAAGTAAATCATCATCCAATAGGTTCCATTAAACCCCTAGATAACAAATAGCTATTCATAATAGTATGCATAACTACAGTACTAGAATTCATAACTAATAATGAAAATAGGAAGAAGGAAGTGAAAAACTCGTAGAAGAATTCTCCGCCTTGCTCCTAGTGTGTTCTTGCCTCCTTAGGTCGAATCTCGGGTCTCCACGACGGCTCCGTGCTCTCCCTAGGTCTAAAATATGTCAAAAGCATGTCCCCCTCCTCAAAATAGCGTTTTATATGTATTTATACCAAATAGGGTCGGGCCCAGATGAAACTTCTTTTCCTGCGCGAAATAGGACTCTGGCTCTGTAAAATTTGCACAGGCGCGCTGCATGGGCGACGCGCCACGCGGTGTGCTTGTGGGGAAGTTAGAGGGCTGATTTTGACAAGCTGCAGGAATTTTTCACAGGCGCGACAAATAATATACGAAACTATGGAATTATATCCATACATCATATGGATATGTATGTAGTCAGTTTGCTCTTTTTTTTTTAAAAAAAAATACCGAACCAATCACATATTATTATTTTTAATTCAAATAAAATCAAACCAAGTCAAAGAGCATGTTGGTTTGATTAAAATTTTCAATTTTTCTTGAACACGTAGAACTTGTACCAGGTAGTTGATTTTACATATTTCTACTTAAAAAAAGTTAGAGGCTCTTCTCCTTCGGAAAGAAGAAAAGTATAAAAAGGAAACATGCTATCTTTTAAGGATTAGTTAGCTCCTATAGAAAAAGTTGATACCTTATTTATTTTAAATAAATACCCTTTTAAAAAATTATATTACATAGCTACCTTTTAATTTTTTATAGCCAAATATCTATTTATGGTCACCTCCTACCCTTAAGCCATAAAATAAGCTTTGTATTATTTTTTTCTCTCATATTCACAGTGCTTTATGTTATTTCACCTCATAGGGCTAAGATTCAATCGAGAGAGGAGTCTTGGCTTTACGATTGAACTAATCATTAAGTGAATTCATAAGAATCATTAGAATATTAGAGTGGATTGAACTCAAGTTAGATCACGAATAGCTATCGTGCACCTATCCTGTCACGACCCTTATTTCTCCCATTGATATTTTTATATTGCTCAGGTCTTGTTCTCTATGATCAATTATTAATTGCTTTAATTTTATATTTAATTTAGTTCAAAATCACTTAATTAAGTGTTGATCATCCTGAATAGCATTAAACCATAAGTTATTTGAACATTGTTTAANTACTTTTATACGGTTCGACCTACCTACCCCTTTAACGTACCACTAAAATTAAGACTTTCGTTATTATTTTTTTACTTTCTTCACTATACCCTCCAACTTTACTCCTATCCCTACCCCACTATCTATTCTCTCTCTCTCTCTCTCTCTCTCTCTACTTCCCGATCTCATATCCTCTCCTCTTGAAATATCTCAACTGCGTTTTAAGATTTATACACTACAAGAAAACACAAAAGGCTATTTCATTTATCTGCTTTTGCCAGAAGTATACACATTCCAGGCGTGATAGGAATTATGGTCATCTATCCTTCTAAATTCTACCCTCTTTCTCTGAAATTTCTTGGGGATCAACTTTTCTGTTCTTTATTTTTTCTTTTTCAGAAAAAAAAACACTATTCGCTCCATCATCCATCCTAGAAAAAAGGCAAAATAATTGGTTGTGGAATATGAGGATCAACACATCTGCTCTCGTACGGAATTAGATATTACAGCAATAACTATTACTATTATGCCTAATTTCAAATAAGTTGGAGTTAACTAAGGCAACCGGAGGCAGCGGTGACGGCGAGCGAGGACTGGATACTCATGTTGTTTCAACGAGACGGCATTAGGGTTGTTCTTGAACAAAGATGACGGAGTTGGGGGCTAAGCAACTTGAATTTTTTGTTAATATATTTCAATGTATTTCAATGCATCTCGATGTATTCCATCGTATTCATTGTCTTTTTTTTTCATTGTATTTCAATGTTTCTCGCTGTATTCTATGTATTTAAAAATTATATTCATTGTCTTTTTTTTTCATTGTATTTTCAATGTACCCCGTTTTATTCTATGTATTTTATTGTATTCACTGTCTCGCTATATTTCATGAATGTATTCATATGTTTGTCTTAATTAATATAATTTATGTATTCACATGTATTATATAATTTCTCTGAAGATTGCTATATTTTTGGGGTGTTTTTCGGTTGAGAATCTTTTTTATAACTGAAAATACAAAATCTGTGTGTTATAATTGAGTTTGTTGAGTTATATTAGGAGTCTACTGTGTTAATTGATTCGCTTTCCGTTTAAAAATAGTGTAATCCCCTGTTTCACGCTGTGAATACAGTCGAATACAATAATCTGTCCAGCTGTAATTCCATATTTCACGCCATGAATGCAGTCGAATACACTCGAATACAAAAATCTGTCTAGTTGTAATCCCCCGTTTCACGCCTAGAAATGCTACTATATTCATGAATACAATAACTTAACTACATCGAATACACTATAAAAAATCTGAAAACATAGCTATAGGAAGTAATATAGTAAATGGTAGATATAACTAGCTAATAACCACTAAAACATATGATTTCTGAAAGTTTCTCATCTTTTAATCTTATAGAATGATTCTTCAAGTAACATAAGAGAGGCGAATTTAGAAGTGGAGAACATGAAAGGAAAGGTTGAATAAAAAGGCGGGGAGAAGACTTATTTTCATAAAAAGAAATATGAAAAAAAAATGATGGGGTTAGTAAATAAAAAATGCACTTTATCAAGCAATTTAAGTTTTTAGACGATATGATTACACACTTAATAGAGGTTATGATTTCAAGTCTCACTGCTACTCCTTATAAAAAATCGAAATGCTTGACTTAATAAATAAATAAAATCAAAACCCCATGTGCGAGGGCGTGTTAAAAATATAATCAAGCAAATAAAAATATGCTAACTTTCATAACTTAAATTTTTAGATAAAATAATCACAAATTCCAATAGTGTGAAGTTGGGCTCTAAGTTGAAATTTCATTGAAACTGAAGTTCAAAAAGACATATACTATGAGTCTTGAAGTTAAGATTTGGCAAGCCCAATTAGATCCGTATATTTGAAACTTTGTCAACTCAGTCACGCAGGGTCTAATAGCCCGTTTGGCCAAGCTGCAAAAATCAGTTTATTTTGAGAAATATTTTTTTTCAAAAGTGCTTTTTAGCATTTTGTGTTTGGTTAATTTATGTGAAAAGCACTTATGAGCAACAATTAGTATTTGGCCAAGCTTTTAAAAACTGTTTCTAAGTGTGTTTTTCTCAAAAGTGCTTTTTAAAAAAGTGATTTTGGAGTTTTTCTACTTCTCCAAAACTGCTTTTGCTTCTACTCAGAAGCAATTTTTTTTTACTCTAAGGGTGTGTTTGGTACGAAGGAAAATGTTTTCCATGGAAAATATTTTCCTAGAAAATGTTTTCATGAAAAACGAATGGTTTAATCACTTATTTTCTCTTGTTTGGTTGGTAAGTGGAAAACATTTTCCGAAAAATATTTTCTATTGTTTGGTTAGAGAGTAGAAAATAGTTTTTTTTTAGGAAAATATTTTTTATGCAACTCTCCTCACCCCTCCCCCTCCCCCT